CTCCTCCCTCGCCTCCATCACCCTCCCTGCCACCCTCACCTCCATCAACAACTTCGCCTTCTGCGACTGCTCCGCCCTCGCCTCCACCAACCTGCCCGCCGGCCTCACCTCCATCGGCTACTACGCCTTCTGCCGCTGCTCCTCCCTCGCCTCCATCAACCTCCCTCCTGGCCTCACCTCCATCAACAAACGGGCCTTCCACAGCTGCTCCGCCCTCACCTCCATCACCCTCCCTGCCACCCTCACCTCCATCGGCGACGGTGCCTTCTGCCGCTGCTCCTCCCTCGCCTCCATCAACCTGCCCGCCGGCCTCTCCTCCATCGGCAGCTACGCCTTCGGCGGCTGCACCGCCCTCACCTCCATCAACCTCCCCGCTGGCCTCACCTCCGTCGGCTACAGCGCCTTCAACCGCTGCTCCTCCCTCTCCCGCGTCGCCTTCCCTGCCGGCCTCACCTCCACCCTCCACCGTGGCGCCTTCCACGACTGCTCCTCCCTCGCCCGTGTCATTGTGCCAACCGCCGCCACTAGCCCCCCCGTCCTATTGGCTACGGAACCCCCTACCCTCCCCCCTCCCGAGAGCAACGAGCGCTTGCGGCGGGAGGCGCTTGCATTATCCCCACCCTCCACCACCGTCCTCCGCCTCCCGCCCAGAAGGATGCGCCGGTACGAGGCGGTGGACGGGGCTCTGGCCTACAAGCGCTGCCGCCCCCTCCTCTACGGCTGGCTAGAGCGGGCCCAGACCAGCCTCGGCTCTTACGGCCCGGACGGCGCGGCGCGCAAGCGCGACCGCGAGGAGTTCGAGGGCGACTTTGCGGGGGACGGCGAATGCGGGCTCCTCGGGCGGGTGCTTGAGACGCCGGGAGGCCGCATGTGGCGTGCATGGGCCAGGTTTGGCCAAGGTGGTCTTTCCTCGCCTCTCTGCTTTCTCTTTCTTGTCGGAAGTCTCTCGCTCTCTGAACTCCCGCGTCGCGCGCGAATTCTTTTCTTCGCTCAAGGCCGTCGCTGCCAGGCGCGCCTGTAGCAGCCATGGCATACGAGCCGCCCAGCTGGTCGACCGTCCCGCCTCCCGGCTCGTACACGCTCGAGATCATCCGCGACGGCGTGGTCATAGAGACGGTGGACGCCTCGACGCGAGCGCACTACATTCTCGGCCGCGACCCGGCCGCGGCGCACGTGCACCTGCCGCACCCGTCCGTCTCGCGGCAGCACGCGGTCATCCAGCACCGCGACTCGGGCGGCGTCTGGCTCATGGACCTGGGCTCGACGCACGGCACCACCATCAACAAGAAGGCCTGCCCGTCCCGAGCCTTCGTCGCGCTGCCGCCAGGCGCGATGGTGCGGCTCGGCTCGGGATCGCGACTAGTCACGCTGCTCGGGCCGCCGGACGAGGCGGGTGCGAGCAAGGCGCCCGGCGTGCCGCAGCCGCCGCCGGTTCGGACGCGCCCGGGAGAGGCGCAGTACTCCGCCGCGCGGGCCGCGCAGCGCGCCGAGCGAATCGCGGCGACGACCGGGCGGTCGGCGGTGAGCGCGGACGACC